CCTCCCTGGGCAGGTGAGTTTTTCAGGATTCCAACTTCTGATTGACAGGGGATCTCCAGGCTGGCACGGAGGTGCAGGCACTCAAGGGGCGGAGTCTGCGCTGAGACCCGCGTGCCTGAGTGGAGATGGGCTCTAGGGACCGGGACACGGTTTCGCAGGAAAGGTTCTGGCTTTCACAGGTGGTCCCTCGGGTGGGCGGTCCTAAGCAGGAGGGCCCGGGCCTTCTGAGGGGCTGTCCTGATTCTTAACAGGGCCGGGGCGAGCACCTGCTGTCCAGGGTGAGTGTGGCCGACTGTGAAGGTTCCGCTCACTTTGCACACTGCTGGAGGGCAGGCCTCCCACTCAAGCCCTCGTGTCTTTAAAAACCGTGGCTGTGAAGTGACTCTCGTGGTCGGAGTCGGTATTTTCAGAGTCCACATCAAGGAGTATTGGCTCCAGTGACGCTTTGACCATCCGTCTCTGGTTGCGCTCAGCAGAGGAGCAGCCTCGACCCGGTGGTCAACAGGTCAGCAGTCACCATGTGGTTTAAGTGGGCAGCCATGGGTGACCGGGTGTAACGGCCGGGACGCAGGCACCCCACTGCCCTTCGAGCCTGTTTGACAGCCTCCAGTCACCTGCGTAGCCACGGAGACGGTGCCGGGACAAAGACCCTGAGAGCCAGATCACCAGAGCCTGGCCCCCAGGGCTCCCCTCAAGTTCAGCCAGACGGGGTCGGGGGCCCTGCTTCCATCGGGAAGAATCCACCCCGCCTCTTTGCGTAGCTGGGCCCCCGTTTATCGAGCTGCTTTTTCTGGCATAGGAGGTCCCATCGGGGACGGGGCTCCCTGGCTGAGGGTAGCTGAGCTCTGGCAGCTCTGCACCACGGCCCGTCGGGGTGCAGGGTGGGTACCCTGGGGTGGGGCCATCGGGGTGCGGGCAGGTGCCCCGGGACGGAGCCTGTCAGGGTGCAGGGTGGGTGCCCTGGGGTGGGGCCATCGGGGTGCAGGGTGGGTGCCCCGGGACGGGGCCATCAGGGTGCAGGGCAGGTGCCCTGGGACGGGCCTGTCAGGGTGCAGGGCAGGTGCCCTGGGACGGAGATTGTTGGGGTGCAGGGGCAGGTGCCCCGGGACATGGCCATCGGGGTGCAGGGCAGGTGCCCTGGGACGGAGATTGTCGGGGTGCAGGGCGGGTGCCCTGGGATGGGCCTGTCGGGGTGCAGGGCGGGTGCCCTGGGGCGGAGATTGTCGGGGTGCAGGGCGTGTGTCCTGGGACATGACCACGGCACTCTCCCCAGGTAACAGGAGGCTCTCCAGGAGTTGGACAATTCTTCATGATCTAACTCTTTACTCTTTTTAAAAAGATTTATTTATTTATTTGAAAGGCAGAGTTATAGAGAGACAGAGAGCTTCCATCCGCTGGTTCACTCACCAGATGGCCCAACAGCCAGGGCTGGACAGGCTGAGGCCAGGAGCCAGGAGCCAGCTCCAGGTCTCCCATGTGGGTGCAGGGGCCCAAGCACTTGCGCCATCTTCCGCTGCCTTCCCAGGCCACAGCAGAGAGCTGGACTGGAAGAGGAGCAGCTGGGACTCGAGCAGGCGCCCACATGGGATGCCGGCACTGCAGGCGCCGGGGCCTATACCCCTGCCATGGACCAGTCCCATCTCTCCGAAGGTGTGTGCCACCTCAGATGCACACTTCTGGTCAGCGTGACTGTCCCCTCCTTCCCTCTGAAGAACAGCAAAGTCAGGTCCGGGCTGACCGGCTCCCGGTCTTCCTGCTCTGCCACTCTGAGCAGCTCCATGAAGCCCTGGGCGCCGTGTCTTCCCCTCCACGTGCTCGACGGCCCGTCTAGAAAGCGTGGACACCCTTCCTCGGACGGCCATCAGGCCAGCTCTGGCTTCTGCTGGAAGCCAAGGTCGGGTCTGAGCTCCTCCTCCCAGCCAACCCGGCTGCGCTGAGCCCCTCTGCCCGGGCGCACCGTCCCATCCAGCATGGCTCCACGGCTCCGCAGCTCCACGAGCTGTCCCCGTCTTCTGTCTTCTGTGGTATGCTCTGGGCCTGGGGTCCCCATCTTCTGTCTTCTGTGGTATGCTCTGGGCCTGGGGTCCCCGTCTTCTGTCTTCTGTGGTATGCTCTGGGCCTGGGGTCCCCGTCTTCTGTCTTCTGTGGTATGCTCTGGGCCTGGGGTCCCTGTCTTTGTCTTCTGTGGCACGCTCTGGGCCTGGGGTCCCTGTCTTCTGTGGCACACTCTGGGCCTGGGGTCCCCGTCTTCTGTGGCACGCTCTGGGCCTGGGGCGCTTGCTAACTTTTTCTGTGTCGCAGGGCGGGCAGCCCACACGCCTCCAGGCCGCCCTCTGCCGTGGGCCGCCTGGGTTGTTCTTGAGTCGCCATGCCGGCTCGGTGGGTACAGAGGTGAAAGGGTTTTCTAGCAGGGGTAAAGCCAAAGCAGCAGAATCCAGGGCGGTCACTAACCCCGGCCCCTGGTGCTCACCCCTACAGCTCAGGACAGAGGGCGTGGTGTGGAAGGCAGAGGGCTCTGCCCGCGACCTAGGGCGCCCTGTCAGCCCCAGCATCTCCTGCGGGCTCTCGGCCGAGGGCAGGGCTGCTCCCCCAGGCCTCTGGCCGTCAGGGTTCCCTCTGCTGCAGACGCAGGCTGGGGTGTGATGGAGGCAGTGGCGTCTCACTCTTGGGAGCTGGGGTGACAGGAGGTCTCCCCACATCCTAAGAGGCTTATCCAGGGAAGGAGATTGTTCTAGGCCCTGTCCGGGCTGGGGCCCCGGACAGCCGTCGGTACTGCCGTCTCCTCCCCCTCGGGGATTCCCCATTCGAAAGCAGCAAGCTTTCTGCTCTCTGGGGTCAAAGGCCAGGCCAGAGGGCGTCCTTGAGCCCCGCACCAGGTGGGGTTATCTGGGGCCAGCGGATGCCTGTGCCGCACCGTTACTGTCCGTGAGACCCTGGACTGATCGCTACGTCCTGTCTCCTTCCCGAGCAGGCCAAACGGGGGCTAAGGTGACACGGGGCACGGAACCCTGGCTCCCAGCGCCTCTGTCGCAGCTGGCCCCTGCCCTCCCTCCAAGTGGCATGGCGCTCTGCTCTCTCGCTACTGGTTTCCCGGGTGTGTAACTCGGTCCTAAGAGGAGGGACTGATGCCCCCTTGATCACTCCCGCTGGCCCAGACTTTTGGGGAGGTTTGGCTCTGTGCCGAGGCAGCCAGAGGCTACGGGGGCCCGGAGCTGCGCTCCATTCCCTCCGAGGTGGGTATCTCACGGGATCATCAAATACTCTCCGGTGAGCCTGTCCCAGCGCCTGGAGCCGGAGGAGGCCTCCCCAGGTACGCTGGCTTTGATGCTGGACCGAGGCCTGGGGGAGGCGGCTCGGCGAGGTCTACAGCCCGAGTCCCCCAGGAAGCGTGGGAGCCGTGGGGTCCCACTTCACACTTGGCTCTTGGTGGTAGCCCGGCTGCCCCAGCCCTCGCCCAGGTCCCAGGGGAACGCGCTGCTCTCTCCCGCCTGGGCGTCCCTTTGACCGGTTTTCTACAGTTAGAGCGGCTGATTTCCTTTTCGAACTTGGGGCGGGGGATGCCCCAGGCCGGGTTCTACCGGATTGGAAGAGGGCCAGGGCAGGTCGGCAGTGCCTGCTGTCTCCATTAGAAGACTGTCCCGTAGTGGCTGGCCGCTGGCCGAAGTTTTGCTTTTTGTTTTTCATCTTTCCAAACACACTTCTGTGCTTCTCTTAGTAAGAGCTGTACGGCCTGGTCTTTTCCACTGTTTATCTCTTGTAACTTTTTAGCAACATGTGGCCATGGCAAGTGGAGTTTTAGTTCCCTGACCTAGATCTCAATCTAAGCCAGAAATTTTCTCATTTGCTTTTTTTCTGATTTATGTAGTTGAGAGGCAGAGAGAGAGAGAGAGAGAGGCCTTCCATCTGCTGGTTCACTCCCCACATGGCCGCAACAGCCGGACCTGGGCCCAGCCGCAGCCAGGAGCCAGCAGCTTCCGCCAGGTCTCCCACGCAGGTGCAGGACCCCAAGGACTCGGGCCGTCCTCCACTGCACTCCCAGGCAAAGCAGGGAGCTGGATCGGGAGTGCAGCAGCTGGAGGCTTAACCTACCACAGCACCGACTACGGAAGCCAGCTGGACTCTGCCGGACGTTAAGGTCCTGGCCGTGCTTTAGAGAAACTATTTTCCGCTCCCGTTCCGACGCATGCCCCGCTGTCGTCTGTGACTGCGATTCCTGGCTCAATCCAGGCAGATTTGGGGCCCAGAAATTGGTCTACTTGATCGGCTACCCCAGGGGGCGTTCCAAGAGGCTCTTTAATCTTCTTCTGAGCTCTCGAAGCTCAGAGCAGTCAAAGAGCATTACCCAACCCAGGACCCACCCCGGGGACCGCAGCAGGGGGAGCACTTTCTGGCCTCACTCTGGTCGGCGGTTCCGGACACCCCTAACGCTGTGGCAGTTCCCGTCCGAGCAGCGGAGCCTTCAGCGGGAGGGCGTCCTGTCACTCACGCCGGATTGGCAGCTGCCAGACCCAGTCCTCACCGGCTGCGGCTCGTCGTCGGGCCGACTCCCGGGGGCGTCTCGCGTTTCTGTCGGGACCCTCGTCGCCGGGCTGCTGGGCGTGGTCAGCGAGGCGGCCCGGAGGCCCGAGCGCCTCTCCATCTCGGGCGCCGCGCAGGCCCGTTCCTTCCAGCCGCCTCCGGGACGTGCCGATCACCCGGGGCCGCGTCACACGACGGCGTCCTGGCCCGGGCCGGGGCCCAGCCCGCGCGGCTGGGATTTCAGTCCCGGGAAGACCCGGATCCGAGGCAGCCGCAGGGCAGACCCGCGTCTCCCAGCGAGGGGGCGGCTCGGCGCGCACCCGAGGGCGGGGATCCCGGACCGAGCCTCATAGAGACCCCCGGCCGCACAGTGTAGCCGGCGAGGACCCCGGGGAGCCGCCCGCAGGCCGATCCCTTTTATGTCGTCGCGGTGGCCACGCCCCCTCGTCCTGATTGGTGGAGGCACAAGCCCACACCGCTGCTCATAGGCTCAGTCGGATGGGGGCGTGGCAAACCTAGCAGGCGACGTGGCGGAGGGAGTCAGAAAAACTGGCAGAAACTGGCCAACTCAATAATCGTGGGGAGTCCTGGAAAGTCTCGGACCAGGGGCAAGCCCCGCCATCCGCCCCCTCTGGGGAAAAGCCGATTTGCCTCACAAGCCCCCGCCGCCCTGCGGGACGCCCGGAGGGAGGCGTGGCTCCCGGTGGCTGCGCGCGCTCGGGAGGCCGGGGGCCGGGAACTCCTTCCGCCTTTCAAATAAAAAAGATCTTTAAGCTTCGTGACGAACCTCCAGCACGCCTCGAGCCGCACCCACGCACCGCACCCGGCGCCCCTGCGGGAACGGGCGGCGCGGGGAGCCCCCTCGCGGGCGCCGTCGGACAGCGCGGGCCCGGGTCCGCCCCCGGAGGGGCGGGGCGCCAGGCTGCGCTTGCGCCGTGGGAGGCTCGGCGGGAGCGCGCCGCGCGGGGCCGCGCCGAGGCGCCCGCGTCGAGGCCGGAAGGAAGCGGCGGGGGGCGGGGCCAGAGAGGGAAGCCCGCCGGCCGGCCGGACGGCGGTCGCGGCCCGATGACGTCGCACAATGGCCGTACTCCGCGGGTAGTGGAGCCCGTTTGTTCCGCCCGCGCCGCCCCGAAAGCCGGAGCCTGTGAGAAGCGGAAGGGCCAAGCAGCGTCTTCTCCGCGCCGCCCCGACTCCAGCGGCGCCGTGGCCTCCTCCCCGCCCTCGCGCTGAGGTAAGCGGCCGGCGGGCGGCGGGCAGGCCGCGGCGGCGGGAGCGAGGCCCGGGGCCCGGCGGTGCGCAGCCGCGGCCGCGGCGTGGCTCTCGGCCGGGAAGTGGGTGCCGGGGCGGCGCGGGCCGGGCCGCGCCGCGGTGTGCGTTTCGCCGAAGCTGTCATTTCTCTTCCGGGCCACTCGCGCGGCACATGCTTGCGGCGCGCGGCGCGAGGAGCGCGCGGGCCCGCCCGGAGTGGCCGGCGCGGCTCGCCCGTGGGCGCTCGGAGAACTTGGAGCCCGGCGGAGCCCGTGGAACTCGGTCCCGCGGCTTCGGGGCCCCGGGGCCGCTGGCGCTGGGGGGAACCTCAGCCCTCACGACCTGCGGCCGTGCCCTGGCGGGAGCCCGATTCCTGACTCGCGGAGCCGGCTCCTCCAGGGCCGTCGGCCTCCGGACCCGTTTGGACAGACGGAGAGTTTGGCTTCGCAAGTGCGGGGGTCCCGTCGGGGTGCGGGACTCTGATCCGTCGCTTTCCCGGTGCCGAGGTCCGCGTTCGCAGAGTTCGGCCGGGACCTGGCTGATTCCCGCCTCCCAGCCCCGGTGGAGGCGGCTCGCAGCCTGCCCTGACGCTTGTCGTCTGAGCGCGTCCCAGCACGCTCGCGCCCCACAGTCTCCGTGGGAAATGCCCCACGCTGCAGAGGCGGCTTCGTGGGTTCTCCCCAGAGCAGACGGGCGCGCCGTGGCCCTGCCCCGGGCAGCAGGCCGGAGTCGGTGGCCCTGGCGTCCGACACCGGCCCCCGTCCTGTAGGCCCCGTGCCTGCGTGGGGTCGTCGGTCAGAACGCGAGGCAGCGGTTCAGATGGGCGGCTCCGTTCAGGGCTCGGCCCGGCTGTCCTCGGTCGCCAGAGCCCGCTGGACCTGTGCGGTGGGGACTGCTGGCCGCCCGAGCAGGGCAGGCTCGCTCCGCCCAGGCTGTGGACGGGTGCGCTGCAGCTTCTGACTTAGAGGGAGGAAGACCCCCAGGCCCCGGCGCGCGGGTGAGGAGGAAGGTGCTGTCCACGCGCGGGCACTTCCCGGCCCTTCCTGCTGCTGGGGTGTCTGCAGAGGCCGGCTCGCTGCCCTGGAGCAGAGCACTGGAGCGCGCAGGGCCTGCCGGGAGACCGCCGGGTGCTTTGCACCTCGCAGGCCGTGGGGCGCGCGCTGGGGTATCGGCCAAGCCGCGTTCGTCTCAAAACAGGACACTGATGCCCAGAGTCAAGGACCCGGGACTCGGCCATCTCCCGTCGCCGGCAAGGTGTGGCGTGGGCTGCTGGTGGCGGCTGGCTGGCGGGAGCCTCTGCTTGGGCAGCACAGTCCCAGGAGGGTCCGTGGAGACCCTACGGCTTCTTCCCCGGGAAGCCGGTCGGGGCCTCCTTGGGGGCCGTGTGTCGAGGGCGCTGAGCGCCCACAGAGCCCCTTTCTGTCTGACAGGTGTCCCGGTCTGGATGTGAGCCCGGGGAACACGGAAGTGGGCCTTGGCCCTGCCCGCGCCCTGTGGGGTAGGGTCTCGCGGCAGCCTTTGCACACAGGAGCCGCGGGGCAGCGCGGTGGCAGGGACAGGTCAGGGAGCAGTGCTCTGCGTACCCAGGCAAGACGTGTTAGTCTGGGGAGTGGTGCTCCCCTCTGGCAGGTCCCCGTGGGGCTGCATGGCGGAGCTGGGCTGCCTCGGATGACGACAGGTGCCTGGGTCCGTTCACGGCTCGCGCAGGAGTCGGGCAGAGCCGTCTGCGCCCGGGTCGCTTGGTCAGCGCCCAGCGGCCGTCCCCTAGGGGGTGACTCAAGCAGTGCCTCCTGTGGGCTCAGCGCGGATGGCTCCCTGGGTTTTCTTCATTGGACTCGTGTTGCTTTGACAAATGTTTGAACGTGAGACAAGTCTAGAATGCCAGACAGTGATGTCCTGTGTTGACGGTCCGTGAGGTCGTCACTGTAGTCTGCAGATGAGCGAGCGTCACGCGTGTGGGCAGCGTGTCAGAGGCTGCGTGAGGGACACCGATGGGTCAGCGCAGAAGAAACACTCGTCTGTGCTGGGTTCCGAAAACGAGCTCGCAGACCACTCTAGAACTGGGTCCTCCTGTGCTGTCGAAGCGCTGGTCACGAGTAGGAGGGGCCGCGCTGCGGCGGAGCCGGGAACGCCGCTGCCTGCAGTGCCACCGGCAGTGCCGCGTCCCGTATGGCGCCAGTTCCAGTTCTCCTCCTCCGATCCAGCTCCCTGCTGATGTGCCTGGGAAGCAGTGGAGGAAGATGGCCCAAGTGCTTGGGTCCCTGCACCCGCGTGGGAGACCTGGAAGAAGCTCCTGGCTCCTGGCTTTGGGTCGGCGCAGCTCCGGCCGATGTGGCCAATTGGGGAGTGACCCAGCGGATGGAAGACCTCTCCTCTCTCTCTGTAACCCTGCCTTTCCAATAAACAAATCTTTAAAAAGAAGAAGAAGTGGGGGAGAGGGGCTCAATTCCCCATGGGAGCAGTAGCTCCTTCCGTCGAGTGGGGGGTGCCGCGCCCAGCAGGCAACCAGAGAGGTCTGAGCGTGCATGCCGCGGGCCCCGGGTTCCCCGTCCGGGACAGGGAGCAGCACTGGTCAGGAAGGCCGTGTGCAGGACAGTGGTGTGGGGCCTGACTGTGGTCTCCGGCACATCCTGGCCCTTGGCTTCATCACAGAAATCGCTTTGGTGATGCAGTCTCGCGTGCGGTGGATGCTGGGATGTTGGTCCGGTGAAGCAGTCGCTGAGTTACACCTGGGCTTGGACTCGGGAGTTGCGGGGGTATGGTTTTTATAGCTGGAGGGCATCCTCTGCTCCTCGTCTCTGCCTCGTTGTAACAGCCTCAGAGTGTCCACTGCCTTCCCGCTACCCGGAGGAGGAAGGCTGGGATACCCTAGACTGACCGCCCCAGAGCCCCACTGCCGATAGCACCCCAAGCGGCCCCGTGGGGAGCAGCGCTGTGTGGTGTCTGAGGTGGGGCTCTCCTCTTTCTCGGCTTAGGAATTCCATCTCAGTTTGCCAGACTATGAGAGATGGTTGCTCGTAGCTGTCATGATGGAGGACGAAGTGCGCACAGTCCAGCTGGGCCCCCGAGAGGAGCCGGCCGGCCGCAGGGCAGCGTGTGGCAAGGCGGGCGGCGTTCTGTGGAGTGTGGGTTATTTTAAGTTTGTTTGAGGGGACTTTTTTAAAATCTACTGAAGTGTTAGTATTTCTGTGTTTAGGATTTATTTATTTGAAAGGCAGAGTCACGGGAGGAGGGAGAGACAGAGAGAAAGGGATCTTCATCTGCTGGTTCATTCCACAAATGCTGCGTCGGTCAGGGCTGGGCCAGGCCACAGCCAGGATCTCCTTCCCGGTCTCCCATGTGGGTGCAGGGCCCAAGCACCTGGGCCATCTTCCACTGCTTTCCACGCACATTAGCAGGGAGCTGGATAGGAAGTGGAGCAGCTGGGACTCGAACCAGTGCGCCATGGGATGCCAGCGTTGTAGGCTGCTGCTTTACCTGCTGCGCCACAGCACTGGCCTTGGGGCATATTGGGTTTTTTTGGTGGGGAGTTAAAATTTATTTATTTATTTGGAAGGCAGAGTTACAGAGAGAGAAGGAGAGACAGAGGTCTTCCATCCACTGGTTCACTCCCCAAACGGCTGCAATGCCTGGAGCTGTGCCAATCTGGAGCCAAGAGCTTCTTCAGGTCCCCCATGCGGATGCAGGGGCCCAAGCACTTGGGCCATCTTCTGCTTTCCCAGGCCACAGCAGAGAGCTGGATTGGAAGTGGAGCAGCCGGGACTTGAACTGGTGCCCATATGAGATGCCAGCACTGCGGGCGGCGGGTTTACGCGCTGTGCCACAGCACCGGCCCCCAGACGTTGTGTTTTGTTTTGTGTGACAGTTGATTGAGAGAGAGAGGACTTTGCAGGGTCACCATTAGCCGGACGGTGTGAGTTGGGCTCGTGAGGTCTCAGGCCGTGGTGCCGGCCGCCAGCTTTCTGCTGGTGCCACGTGCTGTGCCCTTCTGTGGAGGAGGTGCTGGAATAGTGCAGTGCCGTAGCCGGTGCCCGGAGAGGGGCCGGCATCTCAGGTGTTCCACCAGTCCCCGTGACTGCAGAGCAGGCCGCCAGCACCCCCTTTCCAGTTTTGAGCGGTGGGCGTGCCCCCTCACCCTCGCCCCTGCCTGGGGCTGCAGGAACGCTCTCCCAGAAGCTGTCGGGTGGCCTCATTTTCAGCAGAATACGCCGTTTTCGTGATGACTTTTAAGTAATTCTTCCCAGTAATCCTCTCAAAGCTGGCATTTGGCGCAGCAGTTAAGACACTGCTTGGGGGGCCGGCGCTGTGGCTTGTCAGGTAAAGAAGCACCTGCGGTGCCAGCCCCCCACAGGGCTCCAGTTCCAACCCAGCTCCTGCTGTGGCCCAGGAGAGCTGTGGAGGATGGGCCACGTGCTTGGGCCCTGCCCCCCATGGGAGACCCGGAGGAAGCTCCTGGCTCCTGGCTCCAGCCTGGCCCAGCCTCGGCTACTTAGGGAGTGAACCAGCGAATGGAAGATCTGCTTCTCTCTCTGTCACTCTGCTTTCAAATAAATAAATAAATAAAGCTTTTCCTTTTAAAGATATGCTTGAAACTCCTGGCTCCTGGACCAGAGTGCCGGCACGTGGGTCCCGGCCCCGCTTCCACTCCAGCTCCGCTGAGGTGCACTCTGGGAGCAGAGGTGTCACTCCTGCACGTGGGTCCTGGGAGCAGAGGTGGTCACTCCTGCACGTGGGTCCCGGCCCCGCTTCCACTCCAGCTCCGCTGAGGTGCACTCTGGGAGGAGAGGTGGTCACTCCTGCACGTGGGTCCCGGCCCCGCTTCCACTCCAGCTCCGCTGAGGTGCACTCTGGGAGCAGAGGTGGTCACTCCTGCACGTGGGTCCTGGGAGCAGAGGTGGTCACTCCTGCACGTGGGTCCCAGCCCCACTTCCACTCCAGCTCCGCTGAGGTGCACTCTGGGAGGAGAGGTGGTCACTCCTGCACGTGGGTCCCGGCCCCACTTCCACTCCAGCTCCGCTGAGGTGCACTCTGGGAGCAGAGGTGGTCACTCCTGCACGTGGGTCCCGGCCCCACTTCCACTCCAGCTCCGCTGAGGTGCACTCTGGGAGGAGAGGTGGTCACTCCTGCACGTAGGTCCTGGCCCCACTTCCACTCCAGCTCCCGCTGAGGTGCACTCTGGGAGCAGAGGTGGTCACTCCTGCACGTGGGTCCCGGCCCCACTTCCACTCAAGCTCCCGCTGAGGTGCACTCTGGGAGCAGAGGTGGTCACTCCTGCACGTGGGTCCCAGCCACGCGCATGGGAGACCTGCACAGCTCTTAACTCCTGGCATTGGACAGCCTGGGCTGCTGTGGACACTTGGACTGAACCAGCAGATGGAAAATCTTTCTCTATGTCTCTTTGCCTTTCAAATAAAATGAAAATAAATAATAAGTAAAAGACTCTAAATATTTTTAAAAATGGTTGTTCCTCTGCATAGTGCAGTTAGAAGCCAGAAATGAGTCGTGTGGGTGACTTAGGAGGGCTGATTGGTGTGTGAGTTGTATTATTCGTGTGGGTGACTTAGGAGGGCTGATTGGTGTGTGAGTTGCATTATTGCTGACCTTCTGACGTGCGCGGGGAGTTTTGGTCCTCATGTGCACCTCATGTTGTGATTTCCATGGACGGCAACGAAACCTTTTAATTAGGTTCAGATCCTGGTTCCCGACACTGCGTGTCTAAACGGCCTGTCCTCTTAGCTGTGTTTATCATCAGCTCATATGAACACATGGAGCGTGTGTGTGTGTGTGTGTGTGTGGCCTGCAGCCTCTAAACTCAGGGTCGACTTGGGATGACTGAACCGTCCAGGATCACGCTGGGATCCAGGCAGGTTTCAAACAGCCTTGCGGAAGGAAGCCGGCAAGCGTGAGGCCGGCACTGTTCCTATTACCCCAGACCCCTGGTGGAGGGCAGGGTTTGCGTGTAGACCATTTGGTGGCGGTGTCCTCGCCCCACGTGCACCGCCTGTCTAAGCGCGGCACTGTGCTGCTCAGATACTGAGCGCAGAGACGGGAAACCTCACTTATCACTCGATCTGGGTTCGTAAACATGGACCTGGAATCGGAGTGACTGGGTCTCTGTGAGTCTGCACTTGTTTCTGGAGAGACTCCGCAGCCAGTACCACGTGGAGCAGTGCACGCCTCTGCCGAGAGTGGCTGCAGTGGGGCGCCAGCCTGCCGTGTGGTCTGGAAACCGTGCGAGGGAAAGGGCGCTCGGCACCGGGGAGGGGCTGCGCACGGCAGGTCCCTCAGGCTGACTCCAGAACAGCGCTTCCAGCTGTTCCGTGATGCAGGTCCATATGCGGGCTTTACTGCCCCTGCAGTCCACACCTCACTGCCCACGTTGCGCTAACCTGCAGGCATGACACCCGCAGGAGGAAGGGAAGGGGCCCCGGCCACAATGGCTGAAACCACGGGACTGCGAAGGCACTGCCTTGCGGGGTGGCGTGCCGACACTGCTGCAGTCCTGCTGCCCCGCTAGGTCGGGAATCGGGACGGGGTTGCTGTCCACTGGCTAACTGCTGTGAACGTGTTCTTGTCTTGCAGAACTGTGGGTCCCGATGGATGTGGCCGAGAGCCCTGAACGGGGTCCTCGCTCTCCCGAGGAAGAAGAGGAGCAGCAGGGGCTCTCGGACGACGACATTCTGAGGGAGAGCGGGTCCGATCAGGATCTGGATGGGGCTGGGGGCAGGGCCTCTGACTTGGAGGACGAGGAGGGGGCAGCCAGGGCGCCAGGCCAGGAGGAAGAGGACCCCTCCGATGAGGAGGACCGAGCGAGCGAGGCCCATGTGTTGAGCAGAGGCCCCATGCACTCGCCGTGCGAGGAGGGGGACGATGGGGACGAAGACCCGACAAGTGACCTCAGGGACGAAGCCTCCTCGGTCACCCGGGAGCTGGACGAGCACGAGCTGGACTATGACGAGGAGGTCCCCGAGGAGCCGGCCCCTGCCGTGCAGGAGGAGGAGGCCGAGAAGGCTGTGGCGGAGGAGGAGGAGGAGAAGGGCGACGGTGCTCCCGGGGGCGCGGGGACGCCTGGGGCCCCCAGCGCGGGCGACAAGGACGCCCTGGAGGCCGCCAAGGAGAAGAAGAAAGAGGACGACGACGGGGAGATCGACGACGGGGAGATCGACGTGAGTGTGCGGGCAGGGGAGGGAGGCCCACGCGGGGTTGCTCTGGGCCCGCCTGGGCCCCTGTCGGGAAGTCAGGAAGCAGAGGAGGCGCGGCAGGCTCCCCTCCCTCGCCGTGGCCGCCGTGGCCTGTGCTCCCGTGCTTGGCCCCGGTCTGGAGTTGGTTTTTTTTTTCTTGTCTTCCTTAGTTCATATTTGAGTGAGCACTGAACTGGAGCCCTCATGAATTTTGGCTCTTATTTGGTTCTTGAGATGCAGAAGAACCAGATTCTTCTAGATTTGTTGATTGTGGGCGTCTTCAGCTCTCCCCCACGGCCTGTCGTCTGTCCTCTGGGGAGTGTGCCTGTGGGCCTCTGGCTCTCGCGTCGAGGAGGAGGTGGCCCCGTGTGCGATCCTGGCCATGGGTAGGGCAGGCTTTGTTGGCAGCTGGTTCTGCTGGGAGAGCTTTGAGGGGGCTTTGGGAAACAGCTTGAGTGTGCAGCACGGTGCTTTTCAGAGGAGTTGGGGGCAGTGGGCTGAAGGGTACTGGGTTTCTGTTTCCCTGCTCGGTGGGTGGGGTCTGTGCTCCTGCGCGGTGCTGGAGCAGAGGATGGGGGGGGTTTCCACAGACGGGGTGGGCAGTGGCGAGCTGGATGCTCACCGCAGGTTCCCCCTGAGCACCGTCCCTCCCGTAGACTGTGGTTCCTGTGCGCCCAGTGCCTTTACACATCTGCTCCGTCTGCTGTGACGGACGCTGGCCTGGCTGTGCTGGTGTTGCCGTCTCCCCGCGGTTGCCCAGAGCAGGCCTCCACGCCGTGTGAGCGCACTCAGGAGCCAGGTTCAGGAGGCGTCTCACCAGGCTGCCGGCCAGACTTCAGACGAGTGTCCTGCTGGCCGTCTGGGCCACCCTCTGCCTTGGGACAGGAGGTGACGCTGTGAGACGGCCTTGTCGGTCTGGGCGGAGATGAAGCTGTTGGGCTGCAGTTAGACGAGTTCGGTTTGTTGGGTTCTGGAGAAAAAGCCCCCGTGTCCCTGCTCAGGGCCCCGGGGTGCTGGGCGCCCTGCTCCAGGTAAGACGACTCACCGCAGACCTGGCTTCAGTTGTCACCGAGGCCTGCAGTGGACTTCTCCGATGGGGCTCCCTGGGCTGTGGTGTGGGCGCTGGGGAGCAGGCTCGAGCCCCGGGCACGGACAGCACCCTTGGTCTTGTTTTGCTGGTCCCCAGACCTCGCCCCGTAGGTGCTGCAGCGTGTGCTGTGCTGTGCATGGCAGCCCCTTGTCAGCTGCTGAGGAGACCCCAGCCCCGCTTCTTCAGCAGCAGGGAGGCCGTTTGCTTCCCTCTTGGGCTGTGTCTTGACATGCGGGCCCTGCTGGGGAGGGCCACTGTGCGCTGGGCTGCCTGGAACCTGCAACAGGACGGCCCAGAGCTTGTCCCTGCTGTGGGACAGAGGCCTTAGCCATGCAGGTGTTTCCAGCCCCTACGAAAGCGCCCTGATGTCCAGACAGCCAGCTCTTTTCCCAGGGCTCCCCCATCCTGTCAGCCTCACTGTCGCCCGCTCTGCAGACTTGCTGCCCGCCTCCTTAGCACCTTTGTTGTGTGCACTTGCTTCCAGCAGACGGGCTTGTGCGCGCGCACGCGCGCGCGTGTGTGTGTGTGTGTGTGTGTATGTGGCTGTTGCCTGCCCACAGCCCTGGGGCTGGCGTGTTGCAGGCAGGGTCCCTCAGTACTGCGTGTGGATAGATGCATTCCACTTGCTTTGGGACAGTTAAGGTGGAACACTGAGAAGTGAGAGCTGCCGTGGCCGGGGTCTTCCCTGGAGTGCTCTGAGCGTGAGGAGACTGCTCCAGGGACCCAGCACAGAAGCAGGAGCGTGTGGTGCTAGTGCTGGCTTCTGCTCCCAGACCCTGTTCTCAGCCTGGGGTCTGCAGGTCTCTCCCAGGCTCACACGCTGCGCGTTCTCTTCGCAGCGGCCCTGTTGGCATTCCCACACAGGCTCTGCTCTGCTGGGCGAGCCCGTGGAGAAATCACGCCACTGGACACAGGCTCTCAGGAAGGCGGCTAAGGCCCTTAGCAGGTTTGGTTTTCCAGAGAGTCTCACTGGTCAGTGGAACAGCGCAGGCTCCTCCCGACCTGCTGCCGCCCGTGTCCTTCCCTGGCCATCCTGGCCCTCTGATGGCCAGGAACCGCTGGGTGGAAGCATCCAGAAAGCCTTTGGAGTTTCAGCTCCAGTAGCGCCTTCCCCTAGATCATGGGGACAGATGAACTGGGTGTGAACTGGGTGTGAACTGCAGTCCCTGCACTGGGGCATCAGTTCGCACTGTCAGACGTCGGTGCTCAGCCCAGCCGTGCCTGCGCTGAAGCCCAGGAGGCAGCTGCTTGCACCATGTTTGGGGAGAGCCCCGTGGCATGACAGTAGGGCCGGGGGCCTTCCGTACCATGTACGTGGCCGGTGTTCAGCTCAGCCGTGTGAGAAAGCGTGGGCCATGGTCCCCCCTCGTGGCTCTGAGACCCAGAAGCCCCGAGAACTAAGGGTTGCCCTCACAGCTCTCCGGAGCCGCTGCAGGCTGTGTGTGGTCCTGTGCTTACCTGCTTGGGGGAGGGGCTGTGCCGTGCTAAGGGGGTGCTGTCTCGAGCCCTGCCCAGGGGAGGACGCCTGCTCAGAGAGAGTGTGTTTGGACATTGTCTGGCTTTTTTCCATTAGAAGAACAGGGGACGCTTTCCCAGGCCTGCTCTGTGCGAGGCGTGGTGTGTGCCTGCCCTGGAGGCTGCATTGTACGTGAAAGGTGGGGCAGAGATAAGAGAATCTTCATCCTGGTTGTTCCAGACGCCCCAACAGCTAGGGGCTGGGCCAGGCCAAGCCAGGAGCCGGGAAGTCAGGCCAGATTTCTCCCGTGAGTGGCAGGCACTCCTCGCCTGAGCCGCCTGCTGCATAGGCAGGTAGCTGGAATTGGGGGCCAGAGCTGGGAACTAACCCAGGCATTCATGGATGGCGTGTGGGCATCAAACCAGCACCTTAACCAAGGCCAACACCCACCTCTGGCTTCTATTTTTTTTCTTTTTTAGATTTATTTATTTATTTGAGTTACAGAGAAAGAGACGGAGAGAGGGGTCTTCCATCCACTTGTTCACTCCCCAGGTGGTACAATGGCTGGGGCTGGGCCAGGCCAAAGCCAGGAGTGGTTTTTTTTGTTTTGTTTTTTTTTGTTTGTTTGTTTTGTTTTGTTTTGACAGGCAGAGTGGACAGTGAGAGAGAGAGAGAGAAAGGTCTTCCTTTTGCCGTTGGTTCACCCTCCAATGGCCGCCGTGGCCGACGCACCACGCTGATCCGAAGGCAGGAGCCAGGTACTTCTCCTGGTCTCCCATGGGGTGCAGGGCCCAAGCACTTGGGCCATCCTCCACTGCACTCCCTGGCCACAGCAGAGAGCTGGCCTGGAAGAGGGGCAACCGGGACAGAATCTGGTGCCCCAACTGGGACTAGAACCCGGTGTACTGGCGCCGCAGGCGGAGGATTAGCCTGTTGAGCCACGGCGCCGGCCAAAGCCAGGAGCTTAATCCGGGTCTCCCACATGGATGACAGAAGCTCCCAGGTGTTTAGTCCATCTTCTACTGCTTTTCCCAGGCACATTAGCAGGGAGCTGGATCAGAAGTGGAGCAACCAGGACTCCAGCTGGTGCCCATATGGAATGCTGGCGCTGTAGGCCTGGTTTAACCTGCTGCGCCACAGCGCTGGCCCCCGTTTGTCTCGTGTGCATCACTGGTCGTCTCTGGTGTGCTTACTGATGGTTGTTAGTGGCTGCCTCGCGCCCCGTGTGGTCTGCGTGACGTGCACACTCCAGGGAAGCTCGGGGACTGCTGTGTAGCCTGAGCGAGTGCTGCAGAAACACCCGCCTGCTTGCGTCTGGCCTGGTGTGCGGGTGGAATTCTCCCTTGTTCTGCACTCAGCATGTCAGCTCCTGGGTGTTGACTTCCTGTGGGGCAGGAAGATTGGAGGGTTTGGTGTGGTTTTACTTGAAAAGTAGAGTCAGAGAGAGAGAGGAAGAGGGGTCTTCCATTCTCTGATTCACTCCCCCAAATGGCTGCAATGGCTGGGGCTGGGCCAGGCCGAAGTCACAAGCCCAGAGCATCTTCCAGTCTCCCCTGTAGGTGCAGGGCATTCCCATCGCTTTCCCAGGCGCCTTAGCAGGGAGCTGGATCAGAAGTAGGGCAGCCGGGTGTGGAACTGGTGCCCGTGTGGGATGCCGGCACTGCAGGCGGAGGCTGCGTGTGGCAGGAGCAGAGGGCCTCTGACCACGCCCTGAAGAAACGATTCTGCTGACTTTTTATTATAAAATACTTCCAAAGCCAGATAATTTCAAGGAGGAAATCATACCGACATTTAAGTCAGCATAAAGTCAGGGTTTAATTTCAGCATTTCTTCATTCGGCAAAGGATTCTCGAGTGTTTGTAGCCAGCCGGCACTGCCTATGCTCAGGATTTGGGGTGAGTGGGCAGACACGGTGCTTCTCTGCTGGGGCGTGAGGTCTAGCCAGGCGCCCGGTGGGTGGTCAGCGCGGGGATGGCCGTGTGCAGCCTCCGTATGCTGCGAGGAGCCGTGGTGACAGGAGCTCGGGAAGGGCAGGAGAGCGACAGCATGCGGGCTGCGGTTTGACGGGGCTGCTTTGCGCGGTGGGGAACACGTGGAGGGGCTCAGGAAAGACCAGGAGGGGACCACGTAGGAGGTGGTTTCACCACAGGTGAGACTGGGCAGTGGTTTGGCTGAGGGCGGTACTCAGGGGACGGGGGCAGAGGACTCTGGATGGCCCCCAAGCCTCTGCCCTCGTGACCGGTCAGTGCTGACTGGGCCGGGGCTTCTGTCCTGGATGTGCCGGCTCTACAGTGCCCAGAGCCTGGGCTGTCGGGAGGACAGCTGGGTGCACGTGTGGCATTTTGGCTGTGGGTCAGTGGAGCCAGGCCCTAGCGACAGTAAGGTCTTGGCCATTCGTTAGAATCCCTGGGTGCGACCCAGGCTTTGGTCTTGGTGAAGCTCCTGTTCTCTCAACCTGACAGCCAGAGGTGGGAGCGCTGGACCACGAGAGACCTCGCTCCTTCGCACACCTCGCTGACGGTGCCGTGTTCTCACCGAGTCTCCTGACTCCCCCTCCCTCAAGACTAAGTTACAGGAGGTTCGTCTTTAATTTGGAGGGATACAAAGTATCAGGTTCTGTAAATTTGCTGTAGGTTATTGAGAGAGCTAAAATAAAGCCCTCCTGTGGAAAGCGCTGTGGTTCTCGGGCCATTGAACCCACTCTGTGTTCTCGTGGCCCCTGAGCCCAGGACCAGCTTTGAGATCACCGCTGCCACCTAGAGCACCAGCCTGGTTGGGAAACGCTTGAGCTGGTGAGGGCCGGTCGTGGTCTTGGGGAGACCGCAGTGCCCGTGCCCAGGGCCTGGTGCGTGCGTGTGCGCCGCCCTGCTGAGACGGTGTTCCTGTTGCAGGACGATGACCTGGAAGAAGGTGAAGTGAAAGACCCCAGCGACAGGAAGGTGAGGCCTCGCCCCACCTGCCGGTTCTTCATGAAAGGTAACTATGTCCTGTCCCTCCTCTGGCTTGGCCCTTCCTGGGCCCTGCACTGTGCAGGGCTGTTCCTGGGGGCAGGCTGCCACGGGGGGTGGGGGGGTGGGGAGGGCACTGAACAGTGGGCCCTTTCCCTGGCCCTTCCCCCACTTCAATGGCTGCTGTGGCAAGGAGCTGTCCAGCCTGGCCTCGCTGGGCTCCAGGCACACCGCTGGTGGTGGACCTGTGAGTGGGACGTAGCTGATCCTTCCTGCGAGGCCGCGCACCCAGGGTGCCGTGCTACCCTTCCCCGCCTGTGCACGGCGGCCACTTACCTGCAAGACGCAGCAGAAGCACACGCTTCCTTCGGACTGATTTCTGAAGGGCCGAGGGAGGCCGGGAGGCAGCAGGCGCTCCTGGGAGCAACGCCGGGAGTGAGGTCGGCACAGCGGGCGGCAGTTTGGTGCGATGCTCTTTGAGAATACAGAGAGACCAGAGCGTGTGCTGAGCCTCAGCAGGCCGGTGCTGTCTCCTGAGGCCCTGGGAGACGTGGAGACAGACGAGAACTTCTGGCTGCGGGGTGTCTGCCGTGCGCTTTTCCTGCAACTCGGCGCTCTCCCGGCGGAGCAGGGAGGTGTCCGCCCGGTCGCGAGAGCCCTGGGTGACTGCTCACTGCGCCGCTGCAGCCGAGCTCACGGGCGCTCCCTGTGCTTCTCTTCCAGATGTGACAGCATTGTCCACTCTTCCTCCACCACTGTCCAATTCCATTCCATTCAGAGGCCAGGTTAAAGGTACAAACGCCCCACACCACTCTCCAGTGCCTTCCCCAGAGGCCACACTTGATTGTCCTGGATCCAGACTCCACTGGGCAGCCAGAGGAAGGGGGCTCCGAGGGGCGGGGGCTGCTGGAGCCCTCCTCCCTGGAAGCCTGGGAGCCCAGCCAGCAGGCGCAGGCCGAGACCACACGTGCGCTCAGGGAGAGGACAGGCACTGGGCATGGTGAGGCCCGTCCTGCAGTCAGTGCTGCCCCAGCGCTGGGCTCCGTTCAGGGTGCTTCAGAAGCAGTCGGCCTTCGGAGTCACATGTGCGTGTGGCGGGCCCTGCCGTGCAGCTGCCTCCCCTGAGCCCCCGGGGCCAGGCGGCTGGGGGAGCCTGCGTGGGCCCTGGACCCGGAGCCGACACGGTGGGTGTGTGGCTGCTCTGAAGATCACGGCCGCCCGGCTGTGGAGGCACATGCAGCCCCTCAGGAAGTGCCCGGCGCTGGTGTGTGAGGTGCGGTGTTTCAGTCTCAGTTTAAGCAGATTCTTTTCTGTGAGGGTGCGGGAGTAAGTTACGTCAGCCTGTTACATCACAGCAGTGCTGGGGACAGCCCCTGCGCGCGCACGCGTCTGCAGCCGTCTCGGTCAGCAGTGCTCACAGGCTGCCGCGTGCTCTGCTCTGACGGCCCAGAAGTGCGGCTGGCCGCAGGACCGGCCCACGCCCTCACCGCGGAGGCGGCGGGGTCGACCGGCGGCAGCCCGAGGCCACACTACTGAAGCAGCCCCAGAGTCCGACGAAAGCACAGAACAGGAGTGAAACTCCTGAGGGGCTGCAGGTGGTCAGTCCGGGAGGTGCCTGGGGGCTGTGGGCGTCTCAGCCGGCGGGCTGGTGCTGTGCCCTCTGCCTTAGACCAGTGCTGAGCTGGGCTGCAGTGACTGAGCCGTGTGGCAGGGTCCTTGCCATGGTGGCGTGGAGCCAGGGCAGGCAGCGCTTCGATGCTCACTTGGGACAGGTCAGGATCATTTCTGAACCTAATTATCTTTCTCCTGTGCTGTAGCGTGATGTGGTGTAGGACAAGTGAGAATGGGAATGAGTGATTCTTCCAGTGTTCTAGAATATATCTTTTTTTTTTTTTTTTTTTTTTTTAAGAAATAAGATTTATTTGGATGTGGAAGTTTTTGCTTCTACAGTCTAGTGTTAAATTGAAATGAATTCAATAACAAGAGAAGCTACTTTAAAGGTTTTTTTAATGATTTATTTATTTATTTATGTGAAAGGCAGAGTTGCAGACAGAGAGACTGATCTTCATCTGCTCGATTACTCCCAATAGAACCACACAGCCAGGGCTGGGCTAGGCTGAAGCCAGGAACTTCATCCGGGTCTCCCACATAGGTGCAGGGGTCCCAGTAATTTGGCCTTCCTCCTCTGGGTACATTAGCAGGGAGTAGGATTGAAATAGAGCGGCTGGGGCTCGAACTGGCACCCATGTGGGATGCTGGCATCACAGGCAGCAGCTTAGCGGCCTCTGCCACACTGCACATGTATTGTTGAAAGTCAGGTTGACAGGGAGAAGCAGAGAGAGAGAGATCTCTTCCGTCTGCTGGTTTACTCCTCAAATAGCTGCAACAGCCAGGGCTGGGCCACGTTGAAGCCAGGAGCCAGGAGCTCCATCCTGGTCTCCCACATGGGTGGCATTGCCCAAGCATTAGGGCCATCGTCCACGGCCTCCCTAGGCATATTAGCTGGAGCTGGATCAGAAGCAGAGCAGCGGGGGCTGGAATCGGCCCTGCAGTATGGGTGCCTGTGTTGCAGGCTGCGCCGTAACTCACTGCACAACAGCACTAACCCCAGAGAAATTGCTTTATTTTTTTTAAAGATTTATTTATTTATTTGAAAGTCAGAGTTACACAGAAAGAGGAGAGGCAGAGAGAGAGGTCTTCCATCCTCTGGTTCACTCCCCAATTGGCCACAATGTCCAGAGCTGTGCTGATTCGAAGCCAGGAGCCAGGAGCTTCTTCTGGGTCTCCCACGTGGGTGCAGGGGCCCAAGGACTTGGGTCATCTTCTGCTGCTTTCCCAGGCCACAGCAGGGAGCTGGATCGGAAGTGGAGCAGCTAGGACTCGAACCAGCGCCCATATGGGATGCTGGCGCTTCAGGCCAGGGCATTAACCCACTGCGCCACAGCGCCAGCCCCAGAAATTGCTTTAAACATAAAGCGAGGGGCAGGCACTGGCATAACCGTTACACTGCCTGCCCGCGTTATCAGAGCACCTGCACGCGGGTCTCAGCTCCCCCAGTTCTGCCTTCTTGCTGCTGTGCGCCCTGGGGGGCACCAGGGGCCGGCTCAGCGCTAAGGTGGGAGCCTGGCTGGAGTTTCTGGCTGGCTCCTGATTTGCTCTGATCCAGTCCAGGCCCTTTGCAGGTGTCTGGGGAGTGACCCTGTAGATTAGACGTCCCTCCGTCTCTGTCTCTCAAACAGGCATACGCTCATACATTTATAAGTAAGTAAATACATACAAAAATAAAAACAAAACATTTTTACAGAAAAATGAAACGATTGTGTTAGCCGCCACACAGCTGCTAGTGGGTTGTTCGTGCCGCAGCCACGCGTCACCTCGGACCCAGCGGTTCTTCCACGTGTGGCCTCTGTCCCAGAGGAGTGAAAGCGTGAGGCCAGCTCACGGCACAAGTCACGGTGGCCCAGAAAGAGGAAGCTGCCAAGCTGAGTGGACAGCGCCGTCTGTCTACAGGGCAAGACCAGCGAGCAGGAAGGGAGCGAGACGCTGACGCGCGCTGCGACGAGACTGAGGGGCGTGTGGCGCAGCAGGGCAAGCCGTCGCCGGCCTCCCACGTGGGCACGGGTCCGTCTGGCTGCTGCACTCTGGTCCAGCTCCCTCTGCTGCACCCGGGAAGGCAGCAGCGCCATCTGCTCAGGTTTCCCAGGCGCGTTACCAGGGAACTGAAGAAAGTGGATCAGCCAGGACTGGAACTGGCGCTCGCGGGATGCTGGCCTTGCCAGTGGCAGCTTAACCTGCTGTGCCACAACGCAGGCCCCTGATGGGAAAAATCTTCCAGCCCTAATTCCGCGGCAAGTTGTGAGTGTGGATTCATTACGTGCAGGGGGACACGTTGCTGTCTGTGAGCGTTGGCAACAGAACCTGGGCGCGCAGCTGGTAGAGGTGTTCAGGCTCGGCACTTGGTGGCATGTTCTTATCTGCTGTGTGTCTGTCGAGTCGGGACACGCAGCTGTGTCCACAGAGGACACAAAGGAGTAGCGTGGCTTTGTCTCCTGATTGATCCCTCTGGGAGCAGCACCAGAGTTGTCTTGGCACACGCCCTCACCTCTGCTCCTGCAGTTGGCTGGTGAAATACGTAGAGTATAAAAGTCTCCATCCTGGGGGCTGCTGCTGTGGCCCAGCCGGGGACGCGGCTCCGCGCAGTGCCAGCGCCCCTGTCGGAGCACTGGGCAGATTCCTGGGGCTCCGCGCAGTGCCAGCGCCCCTGTCGGAGCACTGGGCAGATTCCTGGGGCTCCGCGCAGTGCCAGCGCCCCTGTCGGAGCACTGGGCAGATTCCTGGGGCTCCGCTTCTGCGCCAGCGCCCTGCTGACGCACGGAGGTCCAGCTGGAGCTCCTGGCTCCTGCCTTTGGCTTGGAGTCGGCCGTTGTAGACTGTGTGTGTGTGTGCGTGTGTAACTGTGTGTGTGTGTAACTGACTGCGTGTGTGTGTGTGTGTGTGACTGTCTTTCAGATCTTTTAAAAATACACCATCTTAACTGCATTCTTCAATTAAAAAGAAGAACTTGAAACACAGAGAGAGAGACACTCAGAGCTCTCGTCTGCTGGTTCACTCCTCGAATAGCCTGCAACAGCCAGGCTGAAGCGGGGAGCCTGGAACTCATCTGGGGCTCCCGCATGCGTGTCAGGACTCATCACCTGCTGCCTCCCAGGTGTGCTTTGTCCGGAAGCGGCGTGGAGAGCTGGGACTCGAGTCCCGGCACTCTGATGGGGTGCAGGTGTCTCACGTGGCATCGTAACTGCCCCACCCAGCACCCACCATTTCAGTGGTGGAAAGTCCACTGACATGAGCCGTCGCCACCCCCACGCCCACGCCCACGCCATCTCAGCCGCAGCACCCCACCTGCTGAACGGCAGCTCCTCTGCCCGCCACAGCCGTCGGTCCTGTCCTGGGTGCCTCGTGTGACGGCTTGGTTCACTTGGCTTCCTGGCCTCAGTGCACCCACCTTGTGACACGGGGCAGAATTTTCTTTTTAGTGTTGGATACCTTTCCATTTAGCACCTGCTCAGTCATTCGTTCGCGGGGTTGCCAGCCTCGCGGGGCGGGAGGGGCGTGTCTCCGAGACCCTGCTTCCAGTTTTGAGGACATCCCAGAGATGGGGTTGCTGGTATACGCCGTTCTGTTTGGGGTGTTTTGCTACAACGCCGACTTCAGAGTGGCAGCGCCATCCCCCCACAGCAGTGCCCGAGCGCTCCTCCCGGTGTTGCTGCCTGTCTTGGTGACGGTGTCTCCATGGCCGTGCAGCCGGGCCCCGTGTGGTGGGTGGTGGTGAGCGTCTGCTGCTTGGCCATCGGCGTCATTCTGAAGAAACGGCTTTTGCTTGCTTTTGAGTCCTTGGGTTCCCTTCAGGGTCTGTGGCAGGGACCCTGAAGGTTGGGCTGTTTTCGTGATAATCGGGTGTGTGCCACCCACCTTCTCATTTTTAAAAGCATCAAGGATTACAATTCAATTAAATGTTACACTTTGGTATGGGTCTTTAAGAAAAAAAAACACTTCAGGGGCTGGCGTTGTGGCATGGCTAAAACTGCCGCCTGCAACACCAGCATCCATGGGGCGCCGGTTCAATTCCCGGCTGCTCCACTTCCAGTCCAGCTCCCTGCTCATGTGCCTGGGAAAGCAGCAGACAATGGCCCAAGTGCTTTGGCCCCCGTAACCATGTGGGAGACCTGGAAGAAGGTTCTGCCTCCTGGCTTCAGCCTGACCCAACCCTGGCCGTTGCCGGATTGAACCAGTGG